GTTTGGTATGTTTTTTCCACCTTACGTATGTTCTTTAAACATTTACTGGCAAAAAACAATAATGAGTGAATCCATATTCACTATAGTGAATCTGGATTCACTATAGTGAATCTGGAATTCAATAGAGTCAGAGAATTCCAGATTAGCTAACTCTAGTGAATCTCGATCACTATAATTAGTGAATCTGGATTCACATTTACTATAAAGCTCAATTCACTAGAGCTAGTGAATCTGTGTTCACATCACGTAATAACGATCCACTAGCTATAACTAGTGATCTGAAATTTTGATCACGAGAGTTAGTGAATCTAGATTCACATCTTACTATGAATCTCGATTCAATATAGCTAGTGAATCTGTGTTCACATCACATAATCACTATGCACTACCTAAAGTTAATTCTAATGAATCCAGATTCACTAATATGAATCCAGATTCGTTAGAGTAAATCCAGGTGAACTAACTCTATTAAATTCTAGAGAGCTAGATCCATTGAATCGTGATTCAATGTCATTAATACTGTTTGCATATAAACAACCAAAACAAATTGTATATTACATTAAACATTACTGTTTAATAATTTGGATTTGTTATGTGACACTGATTACTTTTGATTAAACAGCACCAAAATTTTGTGAGATATTTGGCACACAAAAAACATCACAAGGCGAGTGAAATAAATACATTAACGCCTGACAGACTTGAGATGGAGTGGAGAACGGCCAAAAACAAATTTGATTGTGCTATTTTTGTCATGAGACATATGGAGACCTACATGGGCGGTGGTACAGCAAATTGGAACTCTGGTTTTCATAGAGAGGGTGTAAGTGTTTAAACTAATAATGTGTTGATAATTTACATTTAGTCTTTTTGAATTAATAAAATTTAGAATATAGCTACTGAATCTTGAACTGAACTTTTATTCATATCGACAGGAGCGATTAAAAAATCAGCTACATAGACTGAGGTCTATATACTGTTGCCAAATTCTTACTGAACCAACAAATGAATTGGCCAAAGAAGTCCTCAGCAAAGCCCAACAGCACCATGATGAAACTGCCAATACCAAAAAAGAGACGAGGAAGACCACAAGATCTTAAGGAAAATGATATTCTGTAATCACCATAATTTTAAACGTTGAAGTTTACAGTTATTGAGTACATTGTCACTTAATGTTATGGAATACTCTAGTTTGTGTTGAACTGCTTTTCTATATAAAAACTGCTTTATGAGAATAGCTTTGTCATAGTTTTATTTCAGATTATATGAAAATACTGTGAAGGTAGTGAATGCAAATGGAAGAATTTCGATTACAGCATAGAATGTGAGTTATAATTCAAGCTTTTATGTAACATACAATAAATTGATCATACTTATTGTGGATTGATAGTTAGTCCAGAATCGCTTAACGCGAATTAAATTCAAACTGATGACTGCATACAACGACTTTATCATTCCTACTTAAATAATACAACTAATAATAATGGAATTCACATGCTATATGAGTAGATCTCAATTCAATATACTAACATGACACAACGTAACCATGTAATTAATAATCCAGTAAATATATGTAGTTAAGAATTACACAATTCAGCAATTTGCATAAGAAATGTATTCATAAAAATGATTCTGAAACGAAATATAACAACTAAATTAAACATCACTCTGCTGCATTATTTTCTTTAATGGGCATGTCCGTGCGTCATGGAAATCGATTTTTTTGCACATATTACACAACCTTGGCACCTTCTTTTTTCGTTGAGTAAGTGATTTCTCATAATCACCAACAATTCTACGTCCACACCCCTTGTTTCTACCTTCAATGAGAGGTTTAACGATCACTTCCGCTAGTATTTTTGAGCCAACAAAAAACTCCATTACATCATTTTTGTTCTGTGTGTCAGATTTCCAACTAGATTCCCAAAGGAAGGCTAGATCTAATACGGATCTGAAGTTTAGAGGGAGAAAAGAGACTCGAGGGAAGAGAAATCAAGAAAAGAAGACAAGGGGGGGCCGGCCCTAGAAAGAGAAGAAGAAAAAAGAAAAAAATGAAGAAAAAACCCTCTTTTATAGCCTTGAACCAGATCTGGCTGAACCAGACCAGACCAGGGTTGAACCAGACCAAGCCAAATTGAGCTAAAATGAGCCAGAATGAGCCAGAATGAGGCAAATTGAGTCAGATTGAGCCTGGCTGGACCAGACCAGATCAGAATGAGCCAAATTGAGCCAGATTGAACCAGAATGAGCCAGTTTGAGCCAAATTGAACCAGTTTGAACCAAATTTGAACCACAATTCAAATTGGAGCTGAATTAAACATTGGAACGACTTTTGATCAACCTACGGTTCATTCCTTCACCTATTTAACCCCTCTACCATATATTTGGAAGGGTCGGAGAGATTTTGAACCCAAATACTTCCTTTTTTTTGGCACATTTTTTGGGGCCGGTTCAGATTATTCGAACCTAAAGAACACTCCGAAAAGTATACGAGTATAAACTGCTTCTTAATACTCCAATAAGGTATATGAGTATAAACTATTCCCTATTTTTTTTTTTGGTTTGAGAAGTTCCTGGAGAATATTGTTTATAAATATTCTTAAGGATAACTCAACCACACTACGCCGGACAACGCGTTGTGCATAAAGACTCGACGCCACAATCAATGGTCAGCTAAAAGTTAGAAAACAGGAATCGACTTCAAGTTTAAAATTCCGACAAACGGTCAGACAATAAATGCAGCACCGGAACTCTTACAGACTTTCGACAAAGCACCGAAAAGCCTGGAGAACTGAAGGAATCAAGAACGGAAATCATTCCAAGGTCTCATTATACCGACTGAAGGTGGGAGACAATCATATCCAAAGTATTCCAGACTCTTCTATAAAAGAACGAGACTGAAATACTTTGGAGGGGGTATCTGTAGGCATATAAAATTGCTTATAGGTCCCCTAGCATAGCTCGGCACAAACCGACGAACCAACGAGGCGACGAGATCGACGAATCGCACAGAAGCGACGGAATGCATCCACCCGCGTGCAGAATCGACATTTCTCTTTTTGCGGGCACTGTCCTGAGAGCCTATAAATAGGCCTAGAGATGTTCATTTTCAGAGGTGGAACTTTCAAGAGCCGAAACTCTGCCGGATTGAAGAGCAAACCCAGAGTTTTGAAGACTCGAAGACTTGGACGCACAGATCTGATCCTCGGCGACCATCCACGTCAGAAAAGGCAGGATCTTGAGAGGAAGAAAGAACAGATCTGAGATCTACACGAGGTCATACTCCAGATCTAAGCTTGGTCTTAGATCTCGAGATCCGAGCGATTATTCCCTTGGTGGATTAATCCCTCCCGGCTATTATTCCCTTCGTGGAATAATACCCGCATAATCGTGTAGATCCGACCGGATCTAGATCGCGCGGTGGTCCACGGCAAACAACCCCGGCGCAGGCAAAGAACCCACACAAGCGAGCGGCCGCAAAACAGGAGCTCGCGATTTGTTCACAAGAGGAAAGTTGTAATTTTTACTTTTTTCTTCTTTCTTTGATTTAGTTGTAACCGGATCTATAAAAGACCGGATCTTTGTAATCCAAGATGACAATTATCTCATTAATGAAGAAAACAGTTTTCCACGCGAACAATATGTAGTTAAGAATTACACAATTCAGCAGTTTGCATAAGAAATGTATTCATAAAAATGATTCTGAAATGAAATATAACAACTAAATTAAACATCACTCTGCTGTATTGTTTTCTTTAATGGGCATGTCCGTGCGTCATGGAAATCGATTTTTTTGCACATATTACACAACCTTGGCACCTTCTTTCTTCGTTGAGTAAGTAATTTCTCATAATCACCAACAATTCTCCGTCCACACCCCTTGTTTCTACCTTCAATGGGAGGTTTAACGATCACTTCCGCTGGTATTTTTGAGCCAACAAAAAACTCCATTACATTATTTTTGTTTTGTGTGTCAGATTTCCAACTAGATTCACGCAAACTGTGCTTCAACTCCTTCAACTTCCCTTCCAGGTAGTCAAGTCTCTCACCATCTAGACCTGCCAAACTCACACAGGATTGGAAATCATACCATATGTCATTCAACTTACGATTTGTAACTTCAATTGCATTGCACTGTTTTGATATTTCTTTGAACTGCAATGAATGACTCATCTCAGCACCTTTTGTCCATCGGTTCACAACAAGATGTCTTGGTATTTTTGTTACATCAGCTTGGTTCAGTGCAAAAAAACCATGTCTACATACTATACCCATTTTCTCAAACAGCCTACACGTACATTGCACGTCATTGTTCAAATAAGCGTGTTTCACCTAAAATTCAAAAAGCAATGTATATTAGCACGGAATAAAAAAAGAAAATGACAAACCCATTAAATGGTCACTGAATCGCGATTCAATGTTGTGAATCGAGATTCACAACACTGAATCGCGATTCAGTGTTGTGAATCGAGATTCACATCACTGAATCGCGATTTATTGCATTGAAAACAGATTCAATTTCTATTGTTTCAATATCCATTATTAAGTTTTACCTCAAATATTTTTCCATGTCTCTTTTTGTCCTTTATGGAAAAATCTTCACGCCATCTTCTTCTGATATACCGTTGATACTTATATCATAACAGGATGACATTATCTCACTCTGTACCTCATAAAACATTGTTCGAGTGTACAACTCTGCTGTATCCCTCTCCAATAACAATGGATGTCCATTCTTGGCATCGACTTCGTTCCTTCATAGTTTAATCTTGCGTTTGTATGCCTTTGCTTCTCCATAGCACTCTCGTATCAGAGATAAAATTCTGTTAATGTGTCAGATCTACGGTTGAATTTGTCAAAGAAACTGTTCCCACTCTCTGATATTGATGTAGTCCGCAATAAACCGGCCATTGGATCATCAGCATAATAGGCTGGAATCCATGACTCCCGAATGTTATACAGTTCACACAACCATTCATTACTTTCAAGCTTATATTCTTTCATAACATCTTTCCAACCGACTTCAAATGTTGCTGGATCTATATCTATACTCCAAATCAGTGCATTGATCTTCCTCTTGAAATCATCCATCTTCGAAATGCATTTTGCCAACTACAATATAAATATATAACGAAAGATTCAGTATTTGTCTAATGAGGATTCATTATATTTATATGTGGGATTCATTACCTTTTGGTTAAATTTCTTCATGATGTGCCACATGCACAAACGGTGACGTGCTTCTGTAAAGACGATTGGTATAGCTTGCTTCATGGCAGGGCACTGATATGTAACAATACACTTTGGCTCGCGAATCATGCATTTCATGAATACCTCAAAAATCCAGACATAGTTATCAATGTCCTCTTTAGCTATCAATCCTGCTGCAAATACAACACACTTCTTATAATTGTCGAGACCAGTAAATAAAACAAACTTTATGTTGTACCTACTGTATCTCATACAAAAAATATAAGATTCACTATGATATATAATTACAATATTGAAAATAGTAAGAGATTAACTATAAAATCTTACTTGTTTGTGGAATATGTAGAGTCAAATGATATCACATCTCCAAATACATCGTAATTTCTTAGCCCAATAACCCCCCTTCATCGACTGCATAATCATAGAAAAATCCATCACTCATCTCCTTCTTATCCGTGAACTTCTCGATGATCATTTGAGCATCTCGATCACCAATATAAAGCTTCACATCCCTACTCCAATTTTTAAACTCGGTACACGTAGCACCAACATTAGAATAACTTCCACACAACTCCTTAGCAAAGTTATATGTTTTGTTAGGCCCCATGTTGGCTTTTGCTCCATCAAATACAAGTTTCTTATGTGCGAGACCGAGAACTCTATTTGACTTCAAAAATTGTTTCCCACTACCGGAGACCAAAAAATGAGAATGCTCTTCAACAAATGAGAGAACATTATATCCTTTCAAACCATCAAACTTAAACACGACTTTAGCTTTGCAACCACATCTACTAGATACAGTTCTCCTTCTCTTTTTCGAACTGCTACTAAAATCCTCATAATCAACATCCATCTTTGATTCATTGCTGCCAGCTCTACTACAAACAATGTGTTTAAGAAGAACTGTACCGTCCTCATGTTTCTTCTCTGTATGCCGTCTGATCTCAAACCTACTTTTACGTCCATACTCTCGGTAAAACTCTATACCATCCTCTAGTGATCGGAAGCTTTGGTTTAGATAAGGTTTAAATTCAGCTCCAACCAGAGGTTTCCAATACATACCACCACCTGGTGATTCAAAAGGAATCGAGCTAACTTCGTCCATTCCATCTTCCCCAAAATCACTGTCCGATGCATTTATAACATGTGGTTCCTTAATTTGTTCATTGCTGCCAACAACTGAAAATAAAACAACATAAATAATATGGCTATATTTTGATATAATGAATCTGGATTCATGGCAATAAATCTGGATTCACTCAAGTGAATCTCGATTCACTATATTGAATCCATATTCACTACATTAAACACGTGAATCCGTTTGAACACGTTCTAGTTATTAGAGAATGTAATGATTTTTCATAATACATTAAACACGTGAATCCCTTTGAACACGTTCTAGTTATTAGAGAATGTAATGATTTTTCATAATGTATTCCCATGTTTTCTTTAGTGAATCTGGATTCAATGAATTCAAGCTCTCCAATTAAATTGGCATAAAATGTTCACGAATATAAACTCCCAGATAATAAGTCATATGAGTAAGTTTTGATATACTGAATCTGGATTCATCGCAATGAATCTAGATTCACTAGAGTGAATCTCGATTCACTTTATTGAATTCATATCATTGCAAATTAATCTGGAGTGAATCTCGATTCACTGCATTGAATCCAGATTCACTGCAGTGAACAAGTGAATAAATTATGAAAAACACTGCAATCTCTAACAATGAATCTCGATTCAATGCAGTTAATCTAGATTAACAACTATAACGTGTTGAACTGAATTCAAACTCTCCATTTAAATCTCCATAAAATGTTTAAGAATGTAAGCTCCTATATAATAAGTCATATGACTAATTATTTAAATACTGAATCTAGATTCACTCCAATCAAAACAACTAGACACTACACACCTGAATTCAAGCTCTCCATTTAAATCTCCATAAAATGTTTAACAATGGCAAGCTGCTGGACGATGAACGAGAGATCTGAAGAATGCTGAACGAGAGCTGCTAGACGATGAACGAGAGCTGCTGGACGATGAACGAGAGAGCTGAAGAACGTTGAACGAGAGCTGCTGGACGATTTCAACGTTGAACGAGAGCTGAATAAAGATGATCGATGAACGAGAGCTGCTGGACGATTTTTCGATTGAGAGAGAGCTGCTCTTCGTGACTGTTGGGTTGCCTGAGCCGTGAGATTGCATGGGGAAATGGAGAACTCAACAGAGAAGCATTAATTACCTCTCTTTAGTGGGCTGTTTATTTTACCAGATTACCCTTATGCAGCTTTAATCTCAGCCATTGGATGAATCTAGATCCAATGGAGAGGATTGGTTTTTAGTTTTTAGGATAGTGAGGTTTTTATTTGAACCTCTCCCTATATATATATATATAT